AGTGACCTGTGTAGTCTGTCAATTAGGCAATAGGTAGACATTTGGATTGCCTAGGTAACCAGAAAGCCAAAGGACTTGATAAATTTGGCCAGTTACCCAGAATATCATAGTTATGTTTATGCAGAAACAAAGCACTAAAACACAATAAGTGGGGCATATAATAAGTGGTGTGGGGCATTTTACCATAATATTCTTGTGAAGTCATTATATTAAATGTTACATATTATATATTATATAAAATATATGGTCCTTGGTCCCCTCCAACCCTCCTTGTCTCTCATAGTTTGACCTTCTTGTCTTTTCTTTGATCAGCAATGAAAGATTAATTTTAGGGTAAATTTCTTAAACTACCCTTATGGTTTAGCTAATTGACTAAGGCCCTGTTTGATGCATCTTTCCACGTGGCCTGTCGGCTATTTGCTATCCTGTCAGACCGCGTTTCGGTCTTTTCCCGTTTAGTTCGTGGTAGATATAGCTGCCAAAAGCCGATGCGCCGAAAAGACGTGAGAAGCCCAAAACGGGCGATTTTCGGGAAGCTCCAATTGGAGCTTTTGCATTTTTTTTTCTATTCGTCTTCATGTGGAAAGACGCGCAAAAAGACATGCCTTAACCAACGGGTTTCAGGCTGCTCAGATCTTAATGCAAAAGCTCAATGTGTCTTTTGAATGTCAGAGCTACCAAAAGATATTCCCAAAAAGACTTGCCAAAGGGCCCCTAACTCTACTCTTATTGTTTACATATTGTCTTAGAGTATCCCTACTCTTTCTAACAATTGTCTAAAACCTCCCTTGCCATTAACATCTGTTAATGAAAAGATGAAAATACTATTTTACCCATTAACATCAGTCGATTCAAATCTCTGTGATTCATAACATCAACTGATGGAATTGTCCCGTTGGCTACGTTTGTAGTCATTTGCATCGACAATGGTGGAGATGGGAGAATACAGGGGAATGGGGGAGAGGCGGGCACGTATCCGCCTTGAATCTAGCACATAGACGGGTTTTGAGGTGATAAATAATAGAGGATGACTGGTTTAGAATGGGTTTCCCACCACACTAGGATGGGTGATGGAGAGTAACAGGTTTCTCTCATTGGTAAGATCGAGAAAAGTTGGTGGGGGAGTTGGAGAATCTGAAGGAAACTGATCTTTGCTAGATTGAGCCTTTAGAGATTGTTCAAACATGTTTTGAACTTCAGAATTTGATAATCTTCATATTGGAGGTTACATGGGTATATTTGTAATGTTGGTAAATTTTGGGGGCTTGCATGTATTTATGAGAGGAAGAGGGGCCTGTGTGAAATTCTGATATAATTGGGTCTTTTGCTTATTTAAGCCATTGATTGTGTGGGATTAGGGTTTAGTGAGAGTGGATATCTTGTTGTGAGTCTGTAGAGAGGTTAGTAATGCAGGAGATGAAGAATGAAATTTGGAATTTTCTTAAATTTTCTATAGTTTTGTATACTTGGACAATATGGGTATTTTCACAATTTTAACTAGTTCTGTGTGGGGCCTGGGCTATAACATCTTGTTCCTCTAGTTTAGTAGGGCTTATCTTTCAATTTTCAGTTTATTTGCATTTGTAGATAGAAAGTTATTGTGTTTCTTGATGCACAAGACAAAGAGTGGCACTTTTTGTAATTATAGTGAACAGTGTTCCGGGCCACACAAGTCACTCTATAAATAGATGTACTCTCTTCCTTTTGAAGCTAATGAATAAATGAATGAAAATTTCAAGAGCTCTCTTGCTGTATGGAGTGATTCCTACAAACCCTAGAGATTCTAGGACCCCTTGTTGTGATTCCTTGGGATTTCTCTTTCTCTACCCTTTCTACTCTCCCTTCCTCTCTCTTTCTGTCTTGTGTTAGTTAGTTCCAGCCCTACTGCATCAGTTAGTCATGTATCTCTTGTTCTCGTCGTGGATATTTTTCCTATCTTTCTATGGGTGGAGGCTACCAAGCCAAACCACGTTAAATCTTGGTGTTTTTCTCTATTTCTTCTTCCTATTTTCTTTTTGATTTATTAATCTCTTTTCTTTTACTTGACACTTCAGTGGTTGCAACTTGTGATCACAAATGTAGACAATAGAAAGAGGAGAGAAGAATCCTAAAATCAATCAATGAACACTTAGAATCACTCAAGGGTTATGAGGCAAATTACTCAATAATTTATCACTTCATTGATTTCTGAAAGAGGTATGTGCTTATGAAAAACACACACACACATACACATATATCCAACAGAAACTGTGTAAAAAGGTATACTTTTACTGTAAAAAAAAATCAAAATGTCATGCAAGCTCAACCAAAAATGTTGGACTCTGTTGGTTGGTGTTTTGGTTGCCCTCATCCAACAGCCCTTAGCTCTAGGTATTCTAAATGACATGAATTTATATATTTTTTTCACAAAGCATTGAAATATATTTTAGAATTTTCATTCCTTCTTGCAGAATGGGTGTTAGGTGTAGGCATTCCTTGAAGAGGGAATTTTCTTTCATGACACATTCATTGATATTTCAGAGTTGAGGTAGGACTTGATGGTGCCTTAACCTTTTGTAGGATATTAGATTTCCCACCTGATATGACACAACCAGTAGTTTATATTAACTGACCAAATACCTATCTTGGAGGTACAGTCTGATAGCTCAGTGCACCTTGATAGCTACCCTAGGGGCACATACACAAAGTTTCTTTAACTCAAAAAGTCAGGTGGAAAGTTTAGTGTACTTGGTAGCTGAAAGCTAACTTGCATCCAGCCAATGCACAATTTTGGTTGGATAAATAAATATTGTTACTCTGTGGTTTGTACTGTATCAACATATGAAAAATATAATGAATACTTGGATTTTTTTTTTGATCAGCAACAGAAAAATTAATTCATTAAATTAGAGAAGTATACAACAAGAGGTTCTGAAAAAACATCAAACCCAAAAAGTCATCCCAAATTTACAGATGAGCCCAAAACATGGTTTGTCTCTGAATTCCTTGTTTAGCTAGGCCATCTTCCATGCTGTTTGCAGATCTTCTAATCCATCTTATTTGGATAAGCATATCTCTAGAAACTTGTTTGAAGTGCCTGAATTCATTCCTTAGCTGAGTTGATCCAAAAAAATTCATCCTTAGCTGCCAAATTACTCCTTCCTCTTTTTTCAGCCAGCCCAACAACTACTTTTGAATCCCCTTCAATGATTAGTCTCTCAATCCCCATTTCTTTAGCCTTCTTCACCCCATAAACTGTTGCCAATTATTCTGATCTCACTACATCACCTTTCTGAACTGGACCTAAATACAATGCTAGGATGCTTCCATTATCTTCTCTAATTACCCCACTGATATCCGATGGGCCAGGATTGCCAATACAACTACCATCACATGGGGCGTGACCAGACCTCTGTTATTCTTTGTTTTCTAGGGGATGAAACAGCAATTGAACCCCATGAATT